ACTGGCCAAGTGGTCATCTCAGGTGATGAGACCCCCTGTGTGTGTAAGACACCCCCTGGTGGGGCAGAACTTGAGATATGCTAGGTGTATCCAGGTGTGGGCTAGCGGGGCTTTGTTGAAATGTAAATAGGTCGTTTGGTTGCCTGGGGGATGCAGACATTCAGAAGTTGCAGAAAGTAAGCAGATTCTACCTCATTACAATTGTAAGACATATAAGCAAGGAGAATAAATGTATTAGAAAATAACCAGAGCTCAGTAGTTCTGTACAATAACCAATACAGCTGTAATCAGGTAAGATAAAGTTATGAAAGGTAACTAAAAGGAACTACAGGTATGAGAAGTAACTAAAGCTGATAAAGTAACTAGAGTCTATAAGGCTCAAATCTTACAACACAGAAACTGATGATTTCGTTTTTTTTTAAAGGACACAATGTGAAACTTGTAAATCCAATGGTTCGTGGACCTGTAATCATTCTTGCACTACTTATCAGTCAGCTTTAATAAATTTTGAACAGCTTAAGGTTGCATAGTTTGAGTATTGCAAGCAAAATTCATTTCCAGTACACCATGAATGTGTATGAGTTTTATAGATGTGTATTGTATCACTTTGGTATAAAGGGACTGCCCCTTTACCATCACTCAGAGAACTCTGTGCGACTGAAAAGCTGTGTATGACTTCTCTCCATGCATGAAATAAAGAATTCTTTGCAGCTACTCTCCGGTCTCCAGACATCTTTATTGGGTCCTGCCTTGTTCCCACTACCACAGTGGAGGTGTACAACCACAATGCTGTAATTCTAAGCTTTTTTAAACAGTACTTTTGATATAGTGTGTTTGCACAACTGTAATATCCACTGTGATATGGGTAGCACTAATTTAATGTAAAGAAAAAAACTATAAATCTTTGCTTTTGTAGTGAAATTGTATTTTGTGCACATTTCTGTGCACTTGAAGGATCACTCCCTGCAGGATCCTCTTAGAGGAACAGTCCACCAGAGATAAATGTGTTTTGAATTTAGCACAGCAACGTGCACTTTCCTAGAAATTAGGTCAGTTAATGTGAATGAAGTGTGTGGCACCTGATGCAAACCTTTGGTTTTGATAAGTGTTTTGTAGTCTAGTGTGTTTTGTGTGTACTGTGGTTCTTTGAATTGTGGTGAGTGTTTTGAGACAATGAGTCCTGTTGCCAAAAACGTGTGTTGGCAGTTGAAGAAAACTGTAATTGTGCCAAGTAGGCTAACAGTAAGATCATTAACCTGCACGTTTTCTGTGGTAAAACCTTAAAACTAATTAAGTTGTGTTTGTTTT